ACTCATGTAACAAATAGATATTCATGCGTCGTTATAAATATATACATATTTACATGTTTCAGTTTAATCGATTATAAATCAAACCATATCCAAATCCTATGGTTTTTATAAAATCACATCCATTCGGTTTGTATGGTATATACCAAAAATAACCATATTATCGATTGTTAATATCTTTAAAAATATAAAATTAAAAAAAGAACTTAGATATTTAAATCATTGATAACAAAAAATTTCAATGTGAAAAATTTAATAAGTATATAATTTATAAATGTTCTTGAAAATTTATTGAAAATTTTGAAATTAAAATATTTATGTAATCTTATATGGTATATAGTTTAATCTGTATATATATATTAGTTTTATTATTGAATGATACTTTTTACTTATATGGTTTTAAAATCATGTATATCTTTTTATAATAAAATGTTAAACTATTGATCATTAATTTTTAACATAATAATTTTAATAGTTTAGTTATTTATTCTCGTTTCTTAAAATTCAAATATAACCTATACGAAAAAAACTAAAGTTTAATTTTATAGCTAATTTGATTGTTTAATTTATTTTAATAATATAAAATTAAAGAAAAATGATGGAGGATATATAAACTAAACTGTTATCAAATATTTATGACTTATTCTTAGGTTCACCCCCTAGGGTAGGTTCACCATCCAATATGATTACATTATTTCATATTTGATATCTTTCTAAAAAGGAAAGAAAATCTTATTAAGCTATATTATATTTTTAAAAATAAAAATAGAAAATAAACAAATAAATAAATAAAAAATAAATAAAACGAATAATTCTTTTTAAAGAAAATATTTTAGCATTAAACCCTAAACTAACCCTAAATCCATTGTTAAATCATAAACCTTTAGATAAATCTTATAGTGTTTTAAAAATTTAATATTTACGATTTACCCAAGGGTTTAGGATTAGAGTTTAGAGTTTAGTGTTTATGATTTACCCAAGGGTTTAGGGTTTAGGATTAGAGTTTAGCGTTTAGTGTTTATGATTTACCCAAGGGTTTAGGGTTTATGATTAGATTTTAGGGTTTAGTGTTAAAATATTTTTTTTAAAGAACTTTTTTTTTATAAAAGTTATCCAAAGGTTTATGATTTACCTAGGAGTTTATGTTTTAGGATTAGAGTTTAAGGTTTAGTGTTAAAATATTTTCTTTTAAAAAAAAATCATTTTCGTTTTTATTAATTATTATTTTTTATATTTTTTTGTATTTTTATTTTTAAAAACATAATATAACTTAACAAGATTTTGTTTCTTTTTTTGAAAAATATCAAATATGAAATAGTGAAATCCTATTGGATGGTGAACCTAGAGGTTCACCCTAGGGGGTGAACCCAAGAATAACTCAATATTTATTATTAGAATCATTAAGTGTCATATATATACATTAGTCATTTATGGTAATTCCGTAGGTTTTATTTATGGAAATAAAATAAAATAGTAATTATATCTTAGGGAACAATCATTAAGTGTCATACATATATATATATATATATTAGTCATTTATGGTAATTCCGTAGGTTTTATTTATGGAAAGAAAATAGCATATCATATCATTATATCATATAGTTTGACTAACTAATGTATCTAGCAACCTATAAAAATCCAATGTAGACTACCTAATTGAATGACACCTATGCATTGAGGCATTTTTTTTAATTAATACAAAATTGAGGTTATATCTTTTCAAATGTTCCTCAATTAATATATAGGGGATTAAAAGAACTAATGAATTTACATATTTTGTAATTTTTAAAGTTTAAGTTACAATTATAATAACACAATTTAAAAAAAAAATATAATTGTCATAAATGTTTTCTCTCTTTTTATGTAATACTTTTATATAAGTAATAATGTGAATAAAATTGTTCAAAATCATGTGCTATAATAATAATTATATAATTTTATAGATTTAAATTTTTAAATATAACCAAGATATACATATATTTATATATTTCCGGATCGGATCGAATATCCGCTTTCCAAAATTTTAATATTTGTGATTCGCTTAGATTTTAACGGTTATTGATTTTTAGTATTTGCTTTGATTCAAAAGTTTACGGATATCCAGAATTTTTGAATCGAAACGAAATAAAATGCCTAGCCCTACATATTTTTACAAACAAATACATATTCCAACAGTAGACCCCATACAGTCCAGAACTGCCGATTGCGAGGTATCTTAATCTTGTCCTTCTTCACCATATGCTCCCTTCACTCTCTCGTCTTCTTCTTCTTCCACCACTCTCTCTAGCCACATCTCAGTGAAATTAATCTTCACAACTTTTATTTACAAACTACAAAGCACCCTTCTTAGTTTATATTAACCTCCACTAAAACCCTAATATTGGGCTTCTTATATATCTCGTGACTCTTGTTTCTCGGTCCAATCTCTCTCTCCATCTTCACTAACCAACTGCGTTCTTTATGTAAAACTTCACTCATAGGCCAATATCTCTGGTTTCCATTAAAATCTCAGATTCCAATTGGTTTTCTTTCTCCTTTCCCTGCTCTTTCATTAGATGATGAACATTTGTAAGAAGCTTTATCTCACCTTCCTCTTTCCCTAAAGTTTTGGCCCCCTTTTTATTTATTTCTTCCCTTTTGTATTTATACAACAGAAAAAGGGTGTTTAGGTGTTTAAAAAAAAAAGAATATTAAACACAATTCATTATCATTTTCCACCTAAACAAAAGAGAAACCTTTTTATTTCATCCCTCCCTGTCCTCCACCTAAACAGAGTATTGTTTCATACTGTCTTCAAATCTCCAGTTTGCTGTCTGTTTTTCTCTCTTTTGTTTTTCTTCACTCAGACCAACAAAAATGTCGGCCTGCTTAAGCAGCGGCGGAGGAGCCGCCGCCGCCTATAGTTTCGAGTTAGAAAAAATGAAATCACCACCACCACCTCCACCGTCAAGCTCAACGACAACAAGAGCTACTTCACCGTCATCAACACTCTCCGAATCATCAAACTCCCCGCTCGCAATCTCAACGAGAAAGCCAAGAACGCCGCGGAAACGACCAAACCAGACTTACAACGAAGCCGCCGCTCTCCTCTCCACCGCTTACCCCAACATCTTCTCTTCTCCATCCTCAAACAACTTGTACTCCAAGAAACAAACTCACTCCAATCCTCAGTTCTTCGGATTCGCTAAATCTCCTCTTCTCAGTGACAACGACGACGCCTCTGAGCTTCTTCTTCCCTACGAATCAATCGAAGAGGCGGATTTTCTGTTTCTCCCGACGATCCACGCGAGATCATCGGAGTACTTCTCCGAGCAGAAGGAGGTTAATTCCAATTCCGGAGAAGAGATCAAGTTTGAATTTTCAGACGAATTCGATGCGGAGTCGATTCTTGATGAAGAGACTGAAGAAGGAATCGATAGTATAATGGGAACCACCAAATCTAATCCCGGAGAGAGTCGTAGCCATTTAATTGGTCGGTTAGAGCAGATGATGACGATGAAGAATCAAACAACAACTAAAGGATTCAAATTCACCGGAAACTTCCCGTTGGGACTTGGACTGAGGAGCGCTCTCAGGGAACACAACGACGCGAATTGGTTGCGGTTTCACACGGTAGATTTCGAGCAGATCTCGCCGCGGATCCAAACCACAACGGAGAGTAAGAAGTTGATCGGAGAGAAGAGTAAGAAGAAGAAAAAGAAGAAAGGTACGAAGCTGCCATTGGTGGAATCGAGTACGGAGGAGAAATCAGGTGAATTGATGTTGAAGCTGGACTACGACGGCGTTTTGGAAGCTTGGTCTGAGAAAGAGTCGCCGTTCTCTGATGAGGTTTTTCTGGCCAGCGGAGGAGCCGATGTCAATGTATGTTAATTATTACTATTCCTCCTCTAATCTCACCACTGCTCTACTTTTGCAAATTAAAAGAGTAATTTTTTTAGTAATTAATTTCTCGTAACTGATGATTTGGAATTCTGTTCTCGCTAGTAATATGCTGCCACGTGGTGTTTATAGTGCCGCTGAATGAAAGGAGTGTGTGTGTTCATTTTTGATTTTATGCTTTAAATAATCAGGAGTTTAGTAGTCATTTATTAGCGGACACAGTATGATGAAAATTACGAAGTTTCTGACAAGAATTTACTAAAGTATTTATGTGCAAAAAATGAGTACTAATTAACATTTGACTTTTGTTCATGGTCTTTTACTCTTTTTGAAAATAAAAACAGTATCATTTGACAAAAATTTTTTAATCAATTAACAAAAAGAAATTACTTTTCTTTTCAAGGGGACTTTAGACTTTGCACGTGAGTTTTCACGTATAAGATAAGTGAAAGAGGTTCACAGATTTATTTCGTATATATCTGTTTAGCCGTATACTCCTTTTGGCATAAAAGTCTACAAAGTACATACACTGACAAGAAATTCTTCTTAACCATAAGAAATTTACTAGAACATTATGTCAGGGGAATAATAAAGTGATATATGTATATGTCAGCTTGTGAGATTTGCAAATTTAAAAGCATGAATTAACTAACCCTTAACCCTAAATGAAAGTTGTTAATTAATGCATCCAATGAACTAATGTGGATTTGGGGCAGGCCAGATTAGCTCAGATCGATTTGTTTGGGGACAGTGGAGTACGAGAAGCCAGTGTTTTGAGGTACAAAGAGAAACGTCGAACTCGGCTCTTCTCCAAGAAAATAAGATACCAAGTTCGCAAACTTAATGCAGATCAACGTCCTCGAATGAAGGTATCTCCATCTGCCTTAATCCGTGGTAAAAACATGTAGGTTCTTTTACCATCCATGATCATAAATTTATTTATTTATTTTACACGGGTTTATGAGATTAACATGAGTTTCTGACCATTTCAAATTTTATGTATACTTTTAATTACTAATAATCTTGTAAAACCAACAAACTGATATAAACAAAATTAACTAAAAGTGGAAAGATTAATTAATTTGTACACATAGTTGGTGGAAACAAATTAAGTAATAAATAACGTTTAGATTTGGTCAAGGGAAAGGGATATACATTAGATTTTGATTAAGACAAGAACCTAATATTAATGTTTTGTTTCCTTACTTTGCTGTGGTTGGTGATTGAATTGGAACAGGGACGGTTCGTGAGAAGGCCCAATGCTAGCCCTCCAAGTGGACAAAGATAGCAAGGAAAGAAGAGCCAAGATTCACTCCTTTTATAATTTTTCTTTACTTTTTAGTTTGTATTATCTTTTGTAGTTGAAATTTTTGTCACCCTCATTTTTGTTCCTTAATTTATGGTCCCTTTCGTTTATATTGTAATTTTTTTTCCTTAAATAAGGATCACCTGAGGAGATGTTAGATGAGAGAAAATGAGGGATAAAAACGAATAAAATGTTTTCTTTTATGTTATTTTTGCACAGAAACGTGTTGAACTCATTCATTGTATAGAACTATCAATAATAGGGAGGAGATTTTGTTTGTGATGTTATATACAGAGTTGCTTATGCAAGAAACGAGAGAAAAAATCAAATCAAACCAAATGATCTAGTTCATGTAGAACCAGCAAATGTCCTGGTGGAGACACCTAGTTGCATACCAACACTAACTAATGTCTCTAAAGACCTACCACTGTTAGCTAAAAGATCCTCATCGATCCGAATTGAATCCTGCAAAAAGGAAGGTTGACGCAGATTGAAGACAAAATCCAATGATTGTATAAAATAGTTCTCATAGATTTGATGGTTATTGTATGCTAACCTTTTCGAAGACGCATATAACGGTGCTTCCACCAAAAGAGAAATAACCAAGCTGCAAGTTAAAAAATAAAGTGTTAAAAGATATTTTATATTGAAGTGTGGTTCCACTGATAAAAGTCTAAAACTGCTTACTTCGTCTCCTTTCTTCAAATGGTCCCCTTCCTTTCTGACAAAATTGATGCTACCAACCATTGTTGCACCGATTGCAACAAAAGCAACCTGTTATATACTTTATTAGCTGACCTTGAAGTTAAGGATATATAAAATTTATTACTATGATTCGTTGGTAATATGTTTTTTTTTTAGAATTTATTAACTCGTTACAACTTCAGAATCTAATTACCTCATGTTCAATCACTAGCAATAGTCATCCTATTTCTAAAGACACATAAAGAGAGGACTAACCTTTCCGAACTCTGATGTTGATATAATTGCCACGGTTCGTTTATTCTCCGTGAAAACGTTACAGTATTTGCTATTGACCGCTATCGGATTAACCTGAGAAGGAATGGCAACTCAACAAACTGTAAACAAAAGTGATTATCATAGACTAAGCATAACAGAGACGAGAGGAATATTGACTACATACTGTATATAAGCTTCCAGAAACATCGACAAACTTTTCAATGACTCCAGAGACAGGGACATGAAACCGATGATAATCCTGTAACAGTTTGTCAAGAAACATATCAGTGACTGTATGATGTTTAAGCTTAGTTATTCAATAGGGAAATATCCAGTCTCGTTGTGTACCTGTGGTGCTAGTCTGAATATTACTAAAGATCCATCAAGAAAAGCATCTGGATTCACATTCTTCCCTAGAAGGCCTCTTATCGAAAACTTCTTACCCTATCAATGTAGAATAAGTACAGAACGAAATTAGGATGTGGTTCAACATATCAGTTTTAACATCATTTTGGTTTAAGAGTTTTCTAAATCTTGCATAATAATAATTAGAGATCATATAGTAAGCTACTATGTAAACAGTGTTACCTTGATCCAGAATCTGGTGCTATCCTCAACTGACTGGAATGCCATTAATCGACAATCAGCAGCACATACAGCAACATCATCACGATTCATGTATGCTATTGGTCTTGCACCAGGTTTCAACTCCCTTATAAAAAATTCATTGAATGTCTACAAGTAAAAATAAAAAGAACTTAGTCACATGCTAATATGTCTTTCATAGGAAGCTCATACTATGAATCTTAAGATCACTAAACACATTTGAATGTAATGTTAAATATATATAAATCAGATCCTCTTTCATACCTTGAAGTGTTGTATAGGATACTTGACTTCAGCCATGTTTATTTGATCCTGCAACAGACAAAACCTCATTTCCAAACAAACAACCAAGCAAACACATTATTATAGCTTAATAATAGAGAGTAGTAACTTTTCATACCTTAAAGAACTCAAGAAAGCTGGGAATTTTTTGTGCGGATTCAACAGAGTTCATTTTCTTCCCCTGCTTCTCAGAAAGTCTCTGCAGTATCTCCTTTGCCCCTGGATCAAAAATATATAAATTAAAGAATGCAGAGGACATGAATGAAGATTTTAAGGCACAAATGAAACTGTACAATATAGCTTATCACATAGGTTGCATTTGAGAAGTAAGAAATGCTAATTAGAGTACCTTGATCCATAAGTCTAAGTCCAATTTTGGACTGGTAAATAGCTCTCATGGACAGAACAATCTTTGAGTCTATCAACTCTTCCACAAGCCTCTTAGTCTTCCTGTCAATCACCTAAAGCAAGTAACAACAAAAGAACTTTGGCATTTGAGCAAAAGATCATGAGAAGAAAAGAAAAAGAGAGGAGAAAGAAAAGCATACCACAATATGAGAAGCACTTGAACCAGTGTTCAAACCAACGTCATAAGTAGATAAGTGTGTCCATTCACTTAGTTTGAACATCCATCTGCAAATAATGTTGTATGGTGTTGTTGGTAAGGATAATTTATTAAATTTGCTGCCTGGTTATTAAGCTTATAAGAAAGAAACATCACTCACCCATATGAAGCTTGTCTATCAGTCAAAAACCCACCAGTCATCACTTGATTACCCGTTCCTTCGTCGAAACAGAGAGTCATATGTATCATGGCGTTGAGCTTGTCAGTGAGTTGAAGAGCCTCACCACACACCGGACAGTTATTTATAATTGGCTCCCTGCATTAGAAAAATTGCCTTCAAAGGAGGTATAAATAAATAATAATATTTGAGAAATGAAGTGAATATCGTTTTAAGGTCATTTACTTCTCTTGTTGAAGAGCAAGAAGCGCAGCTAACTCATCAATAGTCACAACACCGTCACCGTTCAGGTCAGCAGCTCTGAACAACTCCTCTTTCTGGTTAAATAAGTCATTAAGGAGAACATCAAAGTCCACCTTGAATTGAAAACATCTTGACAAGAAGCCACCTAACCTTGTTAGCAGCCACTAAGTTTCCGAAAGCACGGATTAGATCAGAAAACTCTGAGAATGAGAGTTGTCCATCTTCATTGTAGTCCACTACTGACAAGATACGCTTTGCAAACCGCTTCTCGGTTTCAACAGGATCCTGCAAAATGTCAAGTAATGTCAAACACCATCTTTTCACAAAAAAAAAAAAAAAAAAAAAAATTACTTTACAGTTTTTAACCTCAATAGCGCATGAAAGGAAAATGGAGCCAACAACATTGGATGAAGCAGGATCTAACAGGTCAAAGGACTTACAAGCCGACTCAGGTTCCTGTATCACACCACCAGATAAGCATAGGGAGAATAATAATAATAATGAAATCATATACAAAGACAACTTTTTACCTGCACCACAAAATCGAATATATCAAGCTCGCAATAACCAACGATTTTATTCCTCGATAGCCTATTGGTCTGCACCAAGAAATGACCACCCCCTTTTAATAAATAAATAAAAAGACAATAATAGCATGGCTTAACTCTGAATCTAGATAGATAGCAAATAAAACACCTCGAATACAGAGACCCTAGCGAGACTGGGTCCATTTTTCTCCAAGAGAAGCTTCTTTTCCTATATACAGAGGAGGATTTAACACAACAAGTACTCGAAATACGCTTTGATTCAGACCATGGTGTCGATCCACTTACCGAGTTCCAAATCGGCTTCTCCGTACTGCAAAGAAAAAAAAAAGGTTATGATCAGACTAACAGAATATTCAACTCTAAAGAATTTTCAGACAACACATACGCGTCTGAAACTTCTGTTCTGAATGTTTGTTCTCCGAACGAAACACAAGCTAGCCACTTGTCCTTAAACTTCATGTCCGCCTAATAAAGATAATAATAAACCAAAAACAGAGTCACTCAAAAAAATAAAATAAAAAAGGTAATTAAGAGGAATGAATCATATCATACGCCAATGAGAGTGAGAAGAGCAATGCCAGAAAAATCATCGACGGTGACAGCTCTCTGATTCGTAACTCCGGCAGCGTTACGGGAGAAACGTGAACGTAAATGAACACGGTGAGTGCGAAACCTCTGTAGCTTCTGTCTTAGCCTTGACCGTCGAGATTCCTTTGGCTCTCCCTTTGAGCTTCCGTTTCCCATTGCTCCTTGTCGATCTCTTCGTCTTCCTTTAATCTCAGACAAGAGATTCACAGTTTCGATTTTTTTTTTGTCTCCAACGAATTCTTCTACGTTTGACCGAAACGTGGCCGTCCCTAGTAACTTGTATATATATGCATACAAAATGATCCGTTATATGCACTTTGAGAAGGTGGGCCTACTTATTGCTCGGGAATGTTTTTTTTTTCTCTCCCACCTTCTACGGAATATAGCTCTTTTCTTTTTTGCATTTTTAAAAATATTTATGAGCATATATAAAGAAAGTTGAATACCAATTTTCATATATTTTAATGAGTTATTCTTAGGTTCACCCCCTAGAGTGAACCTCTAGGTTCACCAACCAATAGGATGGTGTTATTTTATATTTGATATCTTTTTAAAAATGGAATAAAATCTTGTTAAGTTATATTATGTTTTTAAAATAAAAATACAAAAAATAAACAAAAAATAATAATATTTAAAAAACGAAACAAACTTTAAAAAAAAATATTTAACACTAAAACACTAAACCCTAAACTCTTGGATAAATCATAAACCCTTTGGAAAAATCTTAATCCTTGGATAAATTAATACTAACCAATTATACTGTTTTTTATTTATTTTTATCTTTTTATTTTAAACACATATTTTTATTTTAAAGATATAGTAAAAGCTTTTTTTTTGTTTTAAATTTTTTTCTACAATTATTACTGTTTTTATTTTATTTTTATCTTTTATTTTAAAACATAATATAATGTTAAAATATATTTTTACAGATTTTTTTTCTTTTTTTGTAAATATTATTATTTTTATTTACTTTTTTCTATTTTGATTTTAAAAACATAATGTAACTTGTCAAGATTTTGTTTCCTTTTTTAAAAGATATCAAATATGAAATAACAACATTCTATTAGATGGTTAGGGGGTGAACCTAAGAATAAATCTATTTTGATTGTTTTTGTTATTAGAATCTACTTTTGATTCTAAATAGGTAAATTTTCCTTTTAAATGTATACTAGGTGTTTTGCCCGCACATGCGGGCTTAATTATATTTAAGTTCATTTAAAAAATTATCAAAATAAATGATTATTTGCATCCAAATAATTTGACCTAAAACATTAAATTTTTTTACATTGATAAAGTTATTAAAAAATTAAAAACAAATCTATGTTTTCTTTTAAAATTTTGAAAAATTTAAAGTCTATTTCATGTCTTCGTAATTGATAAAAAAAAAAATCTATCTTTCAATTTGAAAAATTGAATCGATAAATATACATTCAAAAATTGATCTTACGGAAAGAATAAAATAAGTTTGGATAATAATACAGTATATATGAATTTATTTTTGTCCAACACGTATTTTCTTTCTTTTTGAATGATCTTTTATTTTATATGATTAATTCATGTTTAAGGTTTAACTATATAAAATATAAACATAAATTTAATTTAACGTGTGAGTTCAGAGACGAAAAATAACTTCAGGAATATATATCATTATATTATATTATTATATTATTTTAATTTGAAAATAGTTACGTATTCGACTTTTTCAATTTCTCTTTTGAATTATATACAATTAAAAATTTTACTTTATGAATATTTATTTATGTATTTTCTGTTTTTGAATTTTTTTATCAAAAATATATTTTCCGTTTTTTGAATTTTTTTTATCAAAAATATATTTTCCGGATAACCACAGAATATATATAAGAATTATCTTTTTTATTTTTATTTTTAAATATATATTTAGATTATGGAGAATTCTTATCATTATTATTAATTTAAATCATTTATCTAATCAAATAAGTATTAAATTCGTTTTTATTTTTAGCTGATTTATATATTTTATTCATTAAGGGTATAAACGATATTAACCACTCCAACTTTTAACGTGAGAGCTCCGTTGCGAAAAATCACTTCGCAAATAATAGTATAGACGTGTGAGTTTAGAGACGAAAAATAACTTCAGGAATATATATCATTATATTATATTATTATATTATTTTAATTTGAAAATAGTTACGTATTCTACTTTTTCAATTTCTCTTTTGAATTATATACAATTAAAAATTTTACTTTATGAATATTTATTTATGTATTTTCTGTTTTTGAATTTTTTTATCAAAAATATATTCTCCGTTTTTTGAATTTTTTTTTATCAAAAATATATTTTCCGGATAACAACAGAATATATATAAGAATTATCTTTTTTATTTTTATTTTTAAATATATATTTAGATTATGGATAATTCTTCTTATTATTATTAATTTAAATCATTTATCTAATCAAATAAGTATTAAATTCGTTTTTATTTTTAACTGATTTATATATTTTATTTATTAAGGGTATAAACGATATTAACCACTCCAACTTTTAACGTGAGAGCTCCGTTGCGAAAAATCACTTCGCAAATAATAGTATAGATTACTCAATCATTTTTATTCTCCCCAGTCACAAATATTTCCAACAGTCGAACCGATTAACTCGAAGTATAATCAAATTTGGATTTATTAAAAAAATACTAACTAAAAATCTGATAAAACACAGTAAAATTTGAAAATCCGTAATTAAGCAGTAACCGATAACAATTGACTTGGATAAACCTCAAAGTCTAATAATATTTCTAAAAACTTTTATTTAAACTTTTCATATACTTTTTAATATAACATAAAATTAAATAAATTATTTGATACGTGATTTTGTAGACTTTTAAAAAGGTTATTATGTCATTCAAGAAACTGATCATTAAAAACCAAAAACTATTGATATGAAATTATTTATTATTATTGATTATCTATTATAAAAATATTTTATTTATTTAAGATTTAAAATTAAAATTTATTTAGTTATTTATTATCTTACTTTTGAGAAAAGTTCTAATTTGGTATTAAAATTAGTTAAATAATCTATTTTATGGCAGATGAACACTGAAATTGAAAAAAGTATTATTTATATTTTTTAAATAAAACCTCAATTTTTGACAGTATCTTATATTTCCATATTTAATAATACTGTATAAACATATAACTATATATTACAATTCATTAATCTATTGATTTATGGTTTAATTACAACTGACCTGGTAATCTGGAGAATGATTTGATTTAGTGTCCTGATCGGATTCAAAAACATTGCTAATCACATTGTATCTAATACTGGTTCGAATAAAACTATCACAGATTGTCTCGGTCAATTAAGATATTATATGTTGACTCACATAATTCATCATGTATCGATTTTAAAAAAAAAGTTCGCGTAAAAAATATATATCTAGTACAAAAGCAACAATGAACGCTGTTGGATGCTCCGGTTACATAAGATATATTCATACCTGCATTCATATATAAGTATAATAACTTAGCAGTCAATATAGATGACCTCATCTACGAAAAACTTTTCCACTATTTTGATTAGTTCAAGTGGATATTTTGTCAATATGCTAAGTGCTACTGCTAACACAAGATCGCTCTTGTATATATGTTTATATAAAAGTGTGAATTGAAGTAAAAGGTCTGAAAATGTTTTTTTGGTATGAATGTTAAGAAGGTTTGAAAATGTTATTTTGACTTTGTCTTAATAGTCTTGGTGTGTCCGTCGTTGTGAAGCGTGTGATTAGGTAGGCTCTTGAACTCGATTCAAATCGTGGTCAAAGCTGTCCGTTGTTGATTGATTCTATCAAATAGTAGAAGACACGAGGGTACGTTAAAAGAAATACTAGTATAAACGTAGATAGATAGCACTAAAACTAAATAATGGAGTAAGTTGAAACAACAAATAAATATTCTCAAGCACATGCTTTATGTGTTTCTAGTAAAGGCAAAAGATGGTTACAAGAGACAGAGCACATTGTTACTTGCTATGGTTGATCTGGAACAATATGCATGTAGCATGTGTTTTTCATGACCCCTTCATCTACGCAAATGAAAAATTCTAATTTAGAAACAAACGAACAAGGAGTATATTAGAAGTGAAGATTACATTTAGACGTCACTAGAAAGTCTAGAATAGTCGTTATAAATTTTCACAAATTAACGGAAATGAGTTTGTTTAAAACAAAAATAATGGAAATGATTGGATTTATGCATATTGATTTCTGTAGAGTAGTAACAGTATTTTATGAAATTTCGATCAGAGATATCTATCCTTAATTAAATTAAACCGATTCTACGTAAGATGATATATTATTGTTCTATTTGACAAAAGAATAAGATAGTAGTGATAAAGGTTCATCCGGAAGAACTCAGGTGATATAGATTCATCATGGGACATCATTATAATATTTTTTGGGAAGTGTGAAAGCATCCCTCATAAATCTCTCTTGTACTTTCAAGGGAATGTTCTTAGAGTCTTACATGGCTATCAAAGGCGAATTTGACAAACAAAAGAGAATGGCCTTAGCTAAGGAATCAGCCTAAGAAAGTCTTAAAATAACTACATAGCATACATATATCGTGAAGTAAACCTTGGAGCTCGATACACTTGCCATGAGAAGTAAGCAAGGAAACGAGGGTCTCAGAATCCCAGTAGAGCTTGAGTGCTCGAAATCCAGATGAGAGTGCAGCGACAATTGCTGCTTCAACCGTGGGTGTCTCTGATAAACCAATTGATTTAAGATTGTACCGTAAACTCACTAACCATAGACCGCCGAGATTATTATATTAATGTCCCCTTACAAATCTCAAATCATGTAGGGTAATTGGCAGTACTGACCCTGAGGAGAAACATTACAAGCAACCGCTTCTGGCCCTTAAAAAATACTTGAAAAATTCAATTTTTTTATAAAAAAATTATTATTATAGTATATAAACGTTCTTATAGAAATGGCCAATTTTAAAAAAATTGCTTCTGGTCTTTCCAATATCAGGACCGGTACTGGTAATTGGTTTTCTAAAGATCTGGAACATTTCATTAATAAGATCCACGAAGAAATTAATTTGAATCAATTATTGTAAAGGGACTTACGGGAAAAAAAAGCTAATTAACAGACACACCACTACTCTAGCACTTAAATTATTTTAACATACTTTGGTTGGTTCGCGCGCGAGTTTGTTGCTGGTAACGGGTGTTTATC